AATAGGAGCAAGCGCGGGGATACCCTCGGGGGCATAGCCACAGGGCATTATGCTCCTGAAGGCCTGCAGGTAGCGAGCCATTGCTGAGGTGAAGTTGGCACTTCCAGCCTGCTGGGGCACTGGAGTGGCGCTCACTAGAGCAATGCCCAAGAGGGCCACAAGGAAGAGTTGCGAAGCCATTTCGATTGCTGACTCTGTTGGTGGGTGAACGGTGAATGGTTAATGGCCAATGATCGCGTTGGGCTCCTTTTATAGCTGAAATTTTTATCTACATCTCTATTAATTTCATATACGTTGAGAGCTTCTAGGCCTTATGATTGATTGCATATCGAGGGAATCGCTTATTGCGTAGCCTTATCGCCACTAAGCCGCATGCAGCCCCTACGTGATTCACAGGTTCATATGGCTGGCCTTGGGGGTTTCTGGGCACGCGTTTTCCCCCGACGATCCATCGTCTGTTTAGAGTCTGCCTTATGCCAATAGAATAGCAGCGTAAAGTTGGTTCCGATATCGGAAAGAGTTCCCGGAATAAATGTTCTTATTGATGTTGCGCTTAGTTCCAGTGGCGTGATATGGAAAATATAAATTCTGTAGAATTCGTGCTTATTGCGGGGGAAATCCTTCTTAAAACGAAGATTGTAGTGCGCTAAATAAAGGGAACATTAGCCAACCACTTCAAATGCATCCTCACTTTTCAGCGCGCGATATTTGTGCATTTTGCATTTCTGGGAATTATGTTGTTATTCGCTGCAGGTCTTATGGCTCCATTAGGCTCTACTTTTGTGTGCTGTGAGTGCTTTTTGAATGCGGAGGGTGCTCTTTCGGAGGGTTTTAGCGCTTGTTGCGTGGCAATAGACTTAATCTGGCTTTTGCTTTTGCCTCTCTTCCAGCTCCTGCTGCTCGCTGCTGTCTTATATATGAGTAAATGCGCTTGGAGTGCTGACTTTTTATTGGGTGCTTCTGTAAAGGTTTCTCCATCATTCATTCCGTTTTGTTTTACTAGATATTTTGCTTTGCAGCATGCGAAGTAGACGGCGAATCATTGATGGCATTGTCAACAGATTCCGCTGCAGCAGCCGAGGTGCCACTTGCCAATTTGCTGATATTCCGTGGAATCACCCCATTCACAATATCATTGTAATTCCTCTCCAAGGCGCTAATGCGAATCTCTTGGGCCACGGCGATCGTCTCGAGTCTGTGTATTTTTTCGCAAGTTTTGGCAGCAGTCTGCTCCGACGAGAGCGGGGTCCTCCGACGATTGGCTGCATCGTTAGGCTCGTAGCTCATGCTATTCCGATTCGCAAGAGATGTACAAATTGTGGAGTCGCTGTTGCTGGCATCTGCTGAATAGTGGGCTTCTGTGCTGGAGCTGCGACTCTCCCGATAGCCTGCAAATGTGGTCCTTTTTGGTTGCCGACGAAACATCTTGGGGCTGGCGCTCCTCGCTGGGGTGCAATCCGGACGAGGGACCGGACTGGCACTGTTTCGTTTCTTCATGGGTGTTGAGACTAAAATTTGGATTGATGTTGTGACAAACAAATAAGTGAAGGAACAAGCAAGGCTCACCAGATATAAAATAAACGAAGAGAGCAGAGAACTCTTTTCAGAGTTATTCGACTCCAGCTATGGCCAACAAATGAAGCTTCAATTTGAAAAAGATTCCAACAAGTTCATTCCCTTGGTATTTGGGTAGTTCCAACTCCTATTTTTTTCGTGCGTATTACATGGGTATTACAGGAATGCCTTTGTTTCAACGTTTTGATTTGGTTTGGCAGGGTCCAGCGCTCAGGGAGATGGAAATGGCCCTGGCTCTAGCTGTTGTTTTGGGGATGATGCCTGGTGGGACCATTGAAGCTTTGTTGGAGCGATTTCACTTGAAATGCAAAAGTTCAATTTACTGCAGGCGCCAGTTTGCTTTCTTTTCTCGTGTTGTGTTGTGTTGTGTTGCACTGCGTGCCGTACCGGAAACAAGCAACGCTCGCTTCGGACCACTCCCATCCACCTATCCAACATCCGCTCCCACATGGACACGCACACGTACGTATGTACATATGTATGAGAGTGCTCCCTGCCTGAGCCTGGACAAACGGGATGGTGAAAACAAAGCAAATGTGAGCTGAGTAGCCTCTGCATTGGACAGTTGTTACCGCTGGGCAAAGATGTCCGCAGCAGCAGACCCAGGGAAAGGGACTCGGGGGCTCGGTTTTAGGTTCTGCTACTCCGGCTTTGCTTCCACGTAGCATCTAGCATCCTTTGATTCTGCCACCCCGAGCAGCGATACGGAGAGTATGTGTGTGTGTGTGTGATTGAATGGACTTTGAATGTAGTACAACACTCGGAGCTGACGATGACCAGGGCCATGTTGCCGTTTTACCATGCAAATGCCGGTGAAAACAGTCTGCCGCTGTCTGCCGCTTGCCGCTGCTTCAGTTTGCCCTGCAGCCATTGATGATGAGCGCAATGTTCATAACCTGCCCCGCCTCCTACTGTTGCCGGGTGGATGGGCTGCTTGTATGGTAATTCCCTCCAGGTGCACATGTGCGGATAGCCAGGTCGAGCCCGAGACGGAGTGTGCCCGGCGGCTGAACAAGATCTGCATTCCATTTCTGTATATACACACAAGATTGGTACACATTATTTTTCCCTGTTTCGAACAGATCAAAGTTACAACTGACCGCATTACATTACGGCTCAAGGTATGCTGAATATCCGCCAAAACTCATCCGATGATGGGGCTCCACTTCATTTGTGGCACACGACAACGACGGCCAACACTGTCGGCCACAACAAAGCATGGCCCACAGCCAATTTGGTTGGACACACGGCTAATTGGACCAAAGTGCGTGTGCCATCCTCCGCCTACTACTATTCCTCTTCCTCCTGCTGCTGCTCGCTGATGGGGTGCCTTGGGTGGTGTGGTTGTGGCGTTGTACGTACGAATGTGCCATGTCTGTGTTTCGGGTGGATGGAGTAAGAGTGTTCTTGATTATACTTCCGCTTTCTTAATAGGAACTGCGCCACAAAAACCACATTATGCCGGCGCGTTGTCGCCCTCAAGTTCTTCTAACCTACCTGAGGTGAGCCCCGGCCGACCCCAGAGCATCAGCCTGATCCGGAGCTCAGCTGCGCTGCCGCTGCCTTTGCTTTGGCCTCTTTTAGGTTTCGGGCGGTTGGGCAGCCACAAAACTTTTACCGTTTGTTTTGGTTTGGCCCCCGCCCGTGAACAAGCTGTGTGCCCGGATCCCCCTGCACCCACATGTATTGACTAAATTAATATTCTCAATTGAAAACTTTCAACTTTTCAACAATAGTTGCTGCTGCAAAGTTTTTCAAAGCCATTACACGGCGAGAAATCCAACTCACTAAATAAACACACAATAAAATGTATACAATTGTTGTGATCTCTAAAAAACAAGTTGGCAGCTCTGCAGCCGGTCCGACTACATTTATCGATATTTGCCGAAATTGCAATTGTTTGTTTATGTTTTTGGCGACATTTGCATAATCTGTGGAGGAGGCTGATAATATATAATATAAATATAAATATTAGAGCAAAATAACAGTGAAAGTGAAACCGAAGGGTAATACCTGCCCAGGCCAAAACTGCTTGCAATCCCTACGGCCACAAGTTTCTGGTACATGCAAGCATACACATACGTACATATGTGTGTATATGTGCATTTACTTAATAAGTTGATAATATAACATAGAATATGCACTTATCTCTGTATGCTTTCAGAATTAATAAATACGAGGAAATATTCTTCGCAATCAATCATTGGCCTCGATTATTGTCTCAACTTGAGATATCAGGTACACCGTGCACACATACACATACACATTTGTGCAATGAGTCATTTCGACGCCTTCGGACTCCTCGAATGAGTCACTGTTAACCATCGAGCTTGGCTATAAAACATTTTGTTCAGTGCACCCTAGGCGGACACACCGCAAAACTTTTGCGTGTGGTTTTGTGTATTCCATTCTAATAAGTCGCCAGCTATCTAACAATTCAAATCTAAGAAAATTTCAAAATTCAATTTGCACTGCGGCGTTGTGACGCTGCTGGGGGAGTGAACAACAAAAGCACACCTCATCTGGAAACTCCCCCGGTGGTGTCCCTTTGCATTTCCACAACCACAGCACACCACACCACTCGATGCGACGGCAAAGTGAACAAACATTTCTGAAAACTTACTTGAATAGATTATTAGGAATTATCAAAACTTAATTTAGCTTAAGAGTGCTCAACATAAGCGGGGGCCAGGCGGGACGTGGCATGCGGGCAGCTAATGAATGCGGCCCGGGTTCAGGAACAGGTGACAAACAATCAGTGAGTGCAGCACTTGAAAGGCGGCTTTTGAAGTGGTTGCCATTGAGAAAAACTTTTGATTTCAGCTTGCAGGAAGAAGGAGACGACCTGGCCATTGATCTTGTCATGCCTTTGTTGTGGACGCTGGTAAATCCCCGACTAAGCGGCTTAGGGAGCAGCTCTGTGCTCGTGCAACTTAAAAGTTTAGCACATGCGATTTAAGCGCTAGAGGAAATTACATCAGCTGCTGGGTTGTCATCACAGCGGGACTACGTTTATTAACTGGACTTGGAGATGGACGAGGAAACAGACACATTACACAGACACAGACACAGACACGGACACGGATCGATCTAATGAGGCTGCCAGCTGGCGGCAGTGTCTGGGATTGGCCGGGTCTGCCATATCCAGCTGTGTAATCGGCTTCAATTAAATCAAGCCAAACGATACTGGCAATTTGAACGTTCGCTTTTGTGCTCCCCACGAGCACGGACAAGGAGCTTGCAGCTAAATAGAATCCAGTCAATGTCTGAGTCGGAGTCGTAGTTGGAGTTGGAGTCATGGCGACCTTTTAGCAGCGCTTCCTGGCAAGGCCCGGCTTGGCCTCCTGCCCTGCGCTTCACTCAATCTGGCGTTAATAACGTGGCACAAATTTACAAGGGAAGTGCAGATGGAAAGAAATAGTTGAGTTACCTTTACCTTGCCCTTGCCCTTATTCCGAGTCGATAATCGCAAAGGAAAACGGATGTCCAATTAGTTGTGTGCCAGCTTCCGGCTCCCAGCTCTTCCTGTGCCCATCCAGCTCATCTGAGCCCGTTTTGAGCCTGTCAATTGCAGCCAGCATCCATTCCATTTGAGTCGAGTCGATTGCCAGTTGGAGGCCAAGCGACGCCCGTCATTGTTGCCAGTTTGGACGCCAACGGCATAATTTTCATATTTGCTTGCCAGTCAATTGCCAACAATTTGCATAGATTGATGTATGTATGTGTGCTATAGCTGATGTATATGTAATCCTCTCACTCTACTTTCAGATATGGCTTATCCTGGTCCCTAATCAATGCCTATTTATGTTCAAAATCCGTTTGGATTTGCCAGTGACGCGCTTATCGCGCTGCATGCTCGTCGGGCTAAAAATTGAATAAAGGATTTAGGGCCTTAAATTGGGAGGCACAGACGCGTCGCCGACTTGCCACGTCAAATGCCTGCCAGTGTCTCAGAGTGTGCATTGGCGTGTGCCCCTTCCTCCAAGGATCTGCGTGTGTGTGTGTGTGTGTGACAGGAAGCCAAACAAAAGCAACATGTGTAACTTGTATGGCATGGCAGCGTCAAAAGGCGAGAGGCTGGAAAAATCTATTAGAACGTGTCTTGCCTGCCAACCCAATACTTCTTTACCCATTCGCAGAGCCGCTGCTCCATTTTTCCCGCTTATATTTCACCCGAGGGCATAATAAGCTTGCCTGCCACCCTCCTTTGCACCTCCTGCTTTTCCTTTTTCTCTGTTTTTTTGTTGTATTTTTATTTATTTGCACGTGCTTGCGTGTGTGTGTGCCTGAGATATTTACTTATGATTGAGTTGCGTGGCGGCAGAAGAGGAAACATCGAGGGCACGGCACCCTCGAAACAATTTGGTAAGAGATTGCGGTTGCTTTACTGATTTTCTCACCCATTTTGTGTGCGCTTTCCCTCCCATTTCTCTACCATTTTCCACGACCGTTCGTTTCCTCCCTCTTCCGCCTGCCAGCCAGCCTGCCAGGCACTGTGGTGTGTGTGTGTGTGTGTGTGTGCGTGAGAGATGAAAATTTAAATTGATTTTGCATTGTTTGACTGTCATTGTTGTTGCCCTCATCGCCGTCCTGTTGGCTGTTGGCTGTTGTTTCTGTTTATTTATCTTTTTGTATGCGGTGGTTCTCGATAAACCTGAAGCTCTGGTTATACATGGCTCGAACATTATTATAAATTTCAATTTGTGCTCGATAAACGTAGCCCCCGAATGGGTTTTGCTTTTCTCTTACCCTCTTCTCTTTATACGTGAGATGACTGGACTGAACTGTTCGCTTTTTGGGTTGATATTTCATCCCGGGAGATGGTGTTATATATCAGCGCATACCAGGAGGGACGATTGCAGCTATAAAACTAGGGATAAATAAAAGATAAATTGGATATTCGTGGGGTATATAGTCTGACCTTCTACGAGAGTCCATGGATAAATACTCTAACCATTAATTGTTCATTTTATGGAGCTACAAATTCAAGGTAAAGGAATGCACAATAAGAATATATTCCACCTTTCAAGATTTCAATGTAAATGTTTTGTTCTTTTACTTCTCAGGCCGAGACACATCATGGATATTAATGGACATTCCCATATAATTTAGTTCCTATCAACCGCTTTGGCTTTCCATATTCTTTTCTGAAGTTCTCGCAGACTAACGAAGATCCCAAGTAAAGATATCACTATCCACGCAGTTCCATGAAGGGATTAACATATTATTTTACCCTTTCAGGTTTTGCCAGACGTTTCCCCAAAGCTTTGATCTGGCTCGTCATTGTTGTGCCCACTTCCTACGAAATGGCTTGGCATAACTCACTCCAGCATTGTGATGCGTTTTGTTTATCTGCGACCCAAGAATCATTTGTTTTTATATGAAATTGTTTTACGCTGTGGCAGCGATCAACCCTGGGCCTTACGTCCGCCTGCGTCCGCCCCGCTCTTTGAGTACAACTACAAAACTGATTCTTTGGTTTCCTTTTGGGTCGGGCTGTTTGCTTTCTGCTTTCTTTGGCTGTTCATACAAATGTTTATCGACTTGTGCGTTGATTTTCCGCTTGCTTTGGTTTTACAGCAGCCCCAGCCCCGGCCCCCAGTGCCAGTCCCAGTCCCATTTTCATCCTTCGAGGATTTTTGGGCATATCCATGTCAGATCGGAGCCTTAGCACGTGCACGGTAGGGTTAAGCGTTGCTGCCCCATTCCATCATTGACGTGTCTGCAGAGTGTGTATGTGTGTGTGTGGTACAGAGTGGGGTCCACATTCGGGGCTATGGATTGGTAATTGAATTTATTGTTTGACATTCAAAGTACCGTTGAGTCAATTACGCTGGAAAATTGGTATCAAAATATTTACGAGCTGTTTATTGCATTACGCAAACTTGATGCCATCATGCCAACCCTCCAGCCAAACCAATTCGATCCCCAACCCAACACACAAAAATGAGAAAAGGTAATGCAATTTACATGCTGATGCCAGCACCCCAGATACGAGTATGTGTGGGGGTTGTGTACGAGTACCAGTATATTCTCAAGACAAATTACATGGAGGTGGAATCAAAAAAAGGGTCGAGTCAAACTTGTCGAGGTGTAAACTGGCCGTGTGCGTCAGTTAAGTGAGTAAATGGGTTGGCCCATGACCACTGCAAGAGATAAAGAAAGCTGTTTGAATTCAAGTGAAAATCGCATCCCAATACTCACTATTAATAGGTTTAATGGCCACCTTCTGATTGAGCTCCCGCAGGTCGGCCTCGACGGTGTCATAAACGAGAGCATTTTTCTGGCAAAAGAAGCCATTGCGCAGCTGCATTGGCAAATGTAGCTGGATCATCTCGAGGCTGTGGGGATAGTCGGCCAAACGTTTGTAGATGCACAGCACATGCTTCAGGATACGAGGATCCGGCTCCAGTGTCTGCTGATGGACGATGCGGCCCAGAGTGTGCACCAGATGGGTGCGACGGGACAGACGACGATTGAAAAACCTCAGACCCACCGCATTGTCCAGGATGCGGTACAATATATACGAAGAGAGTATTTTGCACGTACGCGAGCCGTACTCCAGCTGGCTCAGCAGCTGAGGAATCAGCTCTGCTGCTATTGTGTAGCAGATGCTCTCCGTCGTGTTCAGATTCAGCAGAACACAGACGATGATCAGCAACGAGAGGCGCAACTGTTCGATGGGACGCGTTTTCTGGGTGAGCTTCAGCAGCGGGGCCAGAAAGTACAGGAATTGGGTGCGCATTAGCTCCACTCCAGTAATCGGATGCTTGGCGATGGACAAAATCAGGCCAAGTGCTGCAAATATGCGCTGCGACTGCTCCTCGTCCGGATTGTTGACCGACACCGCCGGAAAGATGTCAATCACCTCCTGCAGCAGCCCGGACACAGCACCACACGCTTGCCACAACATGGGGCCCAGCTTTCCGATTTTACTGCGACGCTCACAAAGCTCTAGCATGGCCTTAGGACGAGCCTCCTTGCTGCTCAGATCCGAAATCCAACCACAGATGCGCTCGGCCTCGGCAAACTCTGCCATATTAATTTCCAAAGAACTCATGCTGTTTGCACGAATATCAGTTCCTATTTCGCAACTTGCCGACCACGTTGTTTGGGCTACAAGCCGATACCGGAATCTTGCAACTATTAAGCCAAAAGCTTCGTGTAGCCGAGCCAGCAAATTGATTCTGTTTCTGAACTTGTTTACTTGAATAATGAGAATAAACGGATTACTTCAGCCAGATACAATTGTAACAACTTATGCCATGCGCTTTAAAAGATTTTTACTAATTTGACAACCTCACTTCAAGTGTTGGAAAACGTCACTTAAACTGACAACTCATTCCAATAGTTATTAATTTCATAGAGTTGTCTAACGCTAGGTGAAACTTTCGCTTAAATCAGCTTCATTAAATAATTAACTCGTAGATTTATAGATATCTTTTTTTTTTATAAATAACATTGTTTGAGCGATAACCGCATTGACATGCATTCTCCCATCAATCTTAATAAAGTCGCCCGTCCATCAAATTCAGCATTATTAACCAAACCAAAGTCTGTCCACACTGGTCAAGCATTAAGCTGAGAACTGAGACAGCAGCATAAACGGTACAAATACATATTCCATACATACATTCCTAGTGTACATATGTATGTAAATACATATATCTGGTTGGATGAGCAGACAGGCCATTGGATAAGTGAGCTGATGAGTTGCAGTTAATTAGAGCGAATTCATCACTCACTTGCAACACCCAACCCAACCCAAGCCCACCCACATGCCCTGCTCCACACCCAAATGAATTATGCATAACAATGTGGGCAACAAGAACAACATGGAGCTAAACCATGCAATTAAATGCAAACAATTTTCCATAAATTATGTGCGGCAGCAACGTCACCCGAATACGTAGTTCCATGAAGCGACTAATGCAAAACGGAACCGGAAATCTGTTTCGGTCTTCTGCATGCGAGGACGTTCCCGTGCCCCTTGTCACGTACTTCTGTGTGTGACTGTGTGTGTGTTGTGTGTGTTGGCGTGTTAATTGGCAACAACTCTATTATTAGAAGAAAAATTTGCTGACCCGTCAATGGCAGCAATTTGCCTTGCTAATTTTATGGCGGTCACACAAAAAAAAGCGACTGAAAGCCAGACAAATATAGTGGAGAGCGCGAAAATATTCAAACAATGCAATCGGTAGGGGGACAGGGCAGCTGTGGCAATTCCCAAAAATATATTTGCATATGGCAGATCGATGTATATTAATGCAATTAAGTGATGCATTCCAAATTTTCAAATAAACAAATGCACAAATGGCACTTTTGTCCTCCATACCTTTTGAGTTTGCATCTCATTTCCACTCTCGTTGTTACTTTTATATTTTGTGTGGGTGGCTGGGTCGAAAGGTATTAACTGCATTTTCTGGATAATTAGGCAGGTCAATCGCAGTCGGAATTTCCGGTTGCATTGCCCTTATTCAAATTATAAATTTCACGCTACACCAGATAAAACAACGACAAATAGTTCTGCGGGCACACGACAAAAATATTACCCATTTTTCTGAATTAATGACTGAACGGAATAAGTTCAGTTATAATTTGAAAAGAAACCAATCCTCAGTAGAGTTCAAGCTCCAACAAGTCGCATAGAGTAGAGTGCACATCGTTATTAACTGCACTCCAAGCTAACCCATTCAGGCAAAATAGCAAAATTGCATTGGGAGCCTACACACCACACCACACCACACCACACCACACCACACCAGGAGGCACTGCAATGCGCACATCACCACATCAGAGGGCATACCTGGGGGCTATGGCATTTTGTCTAATTTAAATTAATATTATGCCAAGCAGCAGCAGCAGCAGCAGCAGCAGCACCAGCAGCGGCAGTGCATGCCAGAGGCATTTTGGGCTTTATATCCTTTGGCCCTTTTTGGGGGATCCCAGACATAATGGCACAACCATCCGAGCCCATTGGCCCATTGTTCGTTGTTGGCCACGGCAAATTGAAATTGAAACTGCAACCGGATGTAATTGGGCTTGCATACGTTCGTTTCGATTTGGTTTTGGCTCTGTTCCGCTTAGGTTTCTGCTCTACTCTACCCAGTTCTGGCTGTCCGTCTGTCTGTCTGTTGATAATATCATTGATAGCTTTTCCCACAATTTGTAACCGCAATAAGTTGTTGTTGGTCACAGTTGGAGCGGCAAAAAAGGACTGTCCATTACGTATGACTATGCACACGACTATTCACTCCCCCCATTGACTATGAGGATGTACATGCATATGTCCACTCCCCCTTGACTCTAAAAGTGTGTGTATTGTTGCTGTACTGAATAGCAACTGGAAATTGGAAATTTTAAGCTACCTTTATCTGTTGAATGGCTTGTTGATTATTACCCGAAGCTGGCGAATGGATTTGCAGTTGCTTCATTTGTGGAAATTAATGAACCAACACACACCCAACATAAGCTTCCTTCCCATTGTCTAAACCATTCTCTGTGGGTATCAAATACGTTTTGGAATTTGCCATTGTCTGTTTGACTCAGAGTTAGAGAGCGAGTGCTCCACAGGAAAGATATTTGGTTGCAGCTTTACTGCTTTGGATCTGCTTTAAATTTTTTAAATACTCTTTGAACTGCAGGAGAGAGAGAGAGACACAGAGACAGTATGGATAATTCATTGGCACTGACAAATCAATTTAAAACATTTAAATGGTACATTTTTGCAGTGCTGGCACTTGCACCCAGGGATAAAGTTAGTTTGATTAACTTTGTGCAACAGAATAAGCTACGGGGAAAACCCCAAAAAGGTAAGCCCCAAGCCCGCACAAAGTGTCTTTATTTATATTTGATAAGGTATTACAAGAACATGCCACACACAGACACAGTCACAGCAAACAGCACCACAGAAAACACGACACAGAGAAGCCCCAACCAGGGCCCCGGCGCCACCGAGTTGGAAAACTAAAAAGTGTCGCAATTGTTGTGACTTGTAACTGTTTGCAATTGTTTAACTTTGGTCAATAATATCACCTGCGCCTGCCACAACCCACAACTACACTAAACTGCATTTAGCATCAGAAACAATGCGGCGTCTGCGGGAGGCAAGAGGGAAGAAGAGCTTAAAGGAGGAGCGGAGCTTGCCAGGCGCCAAGTGGCAAGTGGCAAGTGGCAAGGGTATGTAACGCAACAAGTACAAAACACTGCACGTATTTACCATCTACTAAGTATTTTCCATGACTTTGTGCCATTGTTTCGCAGTAGCTTGCGCTTTATATTTTTATTTTTAATTTTTGGATACCCTTGCAGAGGGTTTTACGAATTTATTTTCTTGCTAGCTCCTTAGATCTTAGGATCTGCAAGTGTATCAAAAGCTTCGGCATGCCTTTTTGGCTTCCATTCTTTTAGAGGTTTACTCGAGCATTAAATAAGTCAAAACACTCACACAAATACGAAGGAGCAGGACGATTGGGGTGGTGGCCAGAGCCAGGGGCATGAGCAGCTGCTGGCCCGGCTAGATGGCTTGCTGGATGGCTCGCTGCCTGGGAACAATTGTCAACAGAGCGCATTGTTTTGTTTACAACATGGAAACTTTTGTGCTTAACTTTGGCATTTGCCAACAAGCATTAAAAATAATTTTCTTAGCCAGCTGAGCAATGTGAATGGTGGAGGGTATTTCGGCCAACAAGCCCAGCATTGTTTGTCCTTTCATTTCCATTAGATGAGGCGCCAAGCCAATGCCAGCTAACGTTACACTCGAGGACGAAGAAGATACCGCCATTGATTAGAGTAAATACAAAATGTAAGATGGATGGAGGGGGCTACGACGTTGAAAGCTAAGCTACAGTGGGGGTCCGCAAAGTGGACTATATTTGAGTGGAAGCTACATTTATTTAGCTATACTAAATGATCTAAGATACTTTTCTGCTATAACTATGCCATATTTATATTTCCATTTATTTCACACAAAAACTGCATACAAATAAAATGATAAATAAAATAAACAAAAATTCTATGTGTTGATGGCAGCTTCCCTAAATAATTCCTTAACTGGTTGTGTGCGCTGAAAAAGTTGGACTGTATATTTTTGGGGGTTTCTGTGGAGCCGGATCGGAAGTGAAGCCTTTCGTTGCGCTTGGGGAAACTTTAATAAGTTTGTCATCAGCATAACTTTGCAATGTGCAGCAATCAAAATTAATGTAAAACGCGGCGAATCTGCAAGCTTTAATTAAGTCATATACAGACATTATGTCAGCTAAACATTGCGTAGCCTCACCAACCCAACACCCCAAAAAAAGAACAACAACAACAGCAAATGTGTATGAACATATACCGAAAATGATAACTGACAGCTAAGAGGGGGGTAGGGGTAATGTATGTTCTTTTTGGCGGTGGGTGTGAGGGCGGCATGGGTTTGTCATTAAAATGTTTCCGCTGCCTAGCAGCAAAAACGGCATCCACGGCCATTGTCAGTCGCCGTTGCTAATCAGCGATGATGCCACAAGGTATTCATATGCAAAACAGAGACGCGCCAACGTTGACATTATTCATTGCAAATGGCAAACGGAAAGGATATTCAAACGCATACACATGCACATTGATGTGTATCTGTGTGTGTGTGTGTGTGTGTGTGTGTCGGAGGGGAGCATATGGGGTGCATACCGAAACTTTAGCAGCGCTTAAGGTAAAATATAATCAAAAGCCGTGAAAACATTTTTACACGTCATTAAACTCAAATTCAACAAACCATGGCAGGCAGCAGCAGCGTATGTTACGGCATCCATCGCACAGCACACACACACACACACACACACACAGATCCACCCACCAAAGCCTGGGGCGGCACACAGCCAAGGAGGGATACTCCCAAAACGAAAGGGAAGGGTAGATACTAACTACTTACAAGCTTCCACAAGATTGATGTGCCTCGCTTGCATAAATAAATTAAAGCTTCGTCTAAATACCAGAGAGAAGCCAGGCCGTAGCTAGCCATGATTCCAGCATTCAACGGCTCAGACTCGGGCCTTTGTTAGTTTCTGTTGAAAACTTCTA